TGCACACTTACCTTGTACAAGTCATATGTAATGCATTGACCAAAAACACAATAAAGGCAGTAGCTACCGATAATATCGGCTTTAATAAATTAAAAAAAAAAAAAAAAAAAAAAAAAAAATTATAAAAAAATAAAAATTATCTTAATATAAGAAAATAAGAATAGTTAAAGATTTTATCATTGAGACTAATATATTTGTAACTGTTCAATATATTTAATTTATTAAATTTAGTAGAACAATAATCATTTTTAACAGTTTCAAAATTCATTTTTTTTTTTTATTTTCTTCAAGTAAAAAATATTAAACTCACTTCAAAAATTTAAATCTTATTTTAATAACTTTTTCTATTTAATGTGTTTGTTATAAAAACAAATTTTGAATATCTATTTTTTGAATTAAACATGATAGTTAGTTTTATAATTTTTTAAATAGAATTAAATTAGTTATATTGAATAGATAATAAAGACTGTCTTAGCATACAATCTTTATCAAAATATCTATTTTCTTTTTAGTAATTTTTATAATTATAAAGAATCAACAAATATTTTATTTTTTATTTGTAATTGTATTTTTAATTTCGATATATAAATCTATCATATAACATTAATATAAATAAAATATATTAATAATTAATAGTTATATTTTATGTAATATAATAATTAATATGACTATCAAGTACATTAGTATACCTTATTCTATAGATAAATTTATATTTTTATATAAAGAAACTATAATTTATTAAAGAAACTATTAAAACCTAAAATTTTAATAATTAACGTATTATTGTTTTTAGATTTGTTTTGATTTCTAAAAAAAAATATAACAAAATTTAATTTTTTTTATTTTAACTTAGCAGATAAGTTTGTATCTTGTTTAGTAATTAATATATAGCTTTGAATAACCTTATATTCTAATTGATTTTTAATAATGTTATTGTTATTATATTCTGTATGCAATATATAACTATTTTTATTATTATTTTTGTTTTATTATTTGTTTTATTTGTATTATTAAATATTTTTTTCAAGACTCAAAGATTGTTTTTATTTTGATCAATATTTTTTAACCAGTTTTCTTTGTTTTGAATTATTACTACTAAGATTAATTTATTCATTGTTGCTGCTTTCTTTTTTTTTGAACTGTAGTTATATTATTAAGTTTTGTTTCAATTTTTTTTTTGCAAATGAGTTATTTATTTGTTTCTTTCTTTTTATGTCAAGTTTTTGTATTTTCAAATTTTTTTTGGTACTAAAAACTCTATTTGTCAAAGAAGTTTTCTTTTTCTTAGAACAAGAACTTTAACTCTTACTAGTATCTTATTTTTAAAGTTTAAGTTTCTGTTTAATGATTTTATAATTACAATTTTCTATTTGCCTTTTCTAATTAGTGATAAACAAGAAAAAATTTTTTCAATTATAATATTTTTTTAAAATTTAAGTTTTTAAAAAAACCTAATACATTTAAAATTATTTGGTATGCCATATTAAAAGTATAATAAAAAAGAATTTTTTTAAATATTATTAAAATTTTTTAACCAATCAGATTACACAAAAAAAAATTTCTAATAAATTTATAATAAAGACATACTATTTTAATTTTTAAGACCAGTAACTATTATACCAAGTTTCCTACTTATATATAATAATTTTTATTTTGAAACCTTATATATAATTAGTTTTATTTTCTAAACCCACATGTAAATTCTCTAAAAATTTATATATTAATCAGTAAATACATGAAATTGAATTGCTAATAATCAAATCCAAATCATATAATCATATGTATTTAGCAGATCTGTCTAGCTATTATTTTTTGTAAATGACATTAGGAATATTAAATTCAGATAGTTATAATATTATGATTTATAGTATAAAGGTTGACTTTTTTTTTGCAAACTGTTATAAAATATTTGGTTCAGGAAATGAACAATTATAGTTTTGTTACAGCATTAGCAGAGTCTAGAATAATTTTTTTTAACAGTGATTGCTGTGACTAAAGGGTTACTTTTTAGACACATAACTATAAATTACACAAATATCCAGATCAGCATGAATAGACTATCTAGTTTTCTCTAAATAAAATCATTAAATTGATACTCAATAGGAAATACAAGTAATCTTTATTTAAAGGTAGAATCATATAGATCATTTTTATATAGTAATATTTACATTTTCATCTAAATTTGATATATACTACTAATAAAACTTTTTTATTTTTTAATTAATTAATAAAACAATTTTATAATATTATAAATAAAATTATTTATCTATTATAGTAAAATTTTGAAATATTGTATTATTTTAAAAAAATATACTTGTATATATAATAAAGTTTATTTAAGTAGGTTAAAATTTACTTAAGTAGTACAAAAATAAAGAATTTAATTGGTTAATTTGCGTAAACCTATTAGTTAATTTTATTTTATAATTTTATATCCTAATCTTTAAAAATTCATATCTCAATGAATTTTTAACCTATTTTAATAATTTTACTATCATTAGAATCAGAAAGACCTACTCTACAACTTTTACTTAATAATTAAAATTAGTTTACTTAATATAATTTTTTATAAAATTAAATATAAAATAATTTACCATTAGGTTTATATATAATTTTAAAATACTTGCCCCTACCCTTAAATTATGTGATATTCTGCGGTAATTACTACAAAATATGTGAAATATGTGGTATTATTGAAACAAACAAAATCTCTGTCCCTGCCACACTGTATACCCTTCCGGGAAACTCCGCTCCTGGTATGTATTTTCTACGTATTCTGGCGCAGGCAATGCATCGATTGACAATGAAATTTCCCAAGAAAGAAATTTTTATTTATTTTCATTACTATAGCTGATAGTGGCCACTGGCATGTTGTCTAAAATAATTAATGTATATATAGAGATCACAAAACTAGAAATAGATTTCGATTCAAAAATGTGCTTGCATTATTCTTAAACTGTAATTGTTTACATATCATATTCTGCGTTTTTGCCTTTATAATAATGTAATATCATTCTCCGATTGAAATTTTGACAAATTCTTTTGTCTAAGACTAGATTACCATTATCGATATCAAAAACCGATAAGAATCGATGATGGTCATGATCAACGAGCAGCATAACGATTCCTAAATTCCAAAACGCTGAAGCCGTATTTTGAGATTATACAAAACGCTTTCAAATTAGTGAAAAATTCGATTGGTTTTTTAGCTCAAAATGAAGATTCATAACAAAGCATTTTTAAGGGCGTTAATTTGGATTATTTTATTTGTGTAATGTCTATCATGTTGTAAATGAGACTTGTACGCATGATCCTAGATATATTACGCGTTCTACTTGCAACTCTTTTTTTTTTTTTTTAAAAAAAAAAAATCAAACTACACTTTACAATTGAATTCTTGAACTGTTTCGTAACTTTTTGATAATTTTTATATTCAGAAAGTTTCACGCAGTTTCGGAATTTTTAAAAAAATTCTACAAAGTTAAAGTTCATTATCAATGACTACCATGGAGCGATCTAGGACTACAAAAAATGCCCACCTGATGTTCTGAAAGAGTATTTATTACAACCACATGAAGGAGACTTTTATTCTTTCCTCGAAAACACTGATATTGCATCGATGCATTTAACCAAATCAGGATGTGAAGATTGTGTAAAAATGTTATGGAAAAATTATTTCGATATAACTAAAAAGGAACGTGAACAAGAAAGAAAAAATTTAGTAATCAATTATCAAGGTGCCTCTATGCCTATATGGTATAAAACATTCGGTTCAAGCCCGTTTGGTGAAAAAAGTTTAATTATTTCACTTCATGGGGGTGGTGGAACTGAACCTTTTATAAATGATATGCAATGGGAGAATCAAAAAACTCTATATAATATTGAGGAGGGTGTCTACGTAGTGCCTCGAGCTCCTGGTAATACTTGGGACTTATGTATCGACCAGAAATTGATCACATGTTTGACCGAATTATTGAGAACATGATTATTTTTGAAGGAGTAAATTCAAATAAAGTATATTTGACAGGGTATTCAGCGGGTGGTGATGGCGTATATAAACTTGCTCCACGAACAGCTGATCGATGGGCAGCTGCAAACATGAATGCGGGACATCCTAATGATGCATCACCATTGAGTCTTCGTAATACACCATTTACAATTCATGTAGGAGCCAATGATGTTGCCTACAATCGGAATAAAGTTGCGCAGGAATGGGCAGATAAACTTGCAAAACTTAATAAAGAAGATTCTAAAGGTTACGACCATTGGGTTGAAATCTACGATAAGACGGGGCATTGGATGGATGGCAAGGAAAAGGCTGCATTAAATTGGATGGCAAAACATATTCGAAATCCGACACCTGATCGAGTAGTCTGGTGGCAAGATGCCGTTACACACGATCGGTTCTTTTGGTTAGAACTTCCAAAAGATCAAGTTCGTCAGTATACCAAAGTAATTGCTACGCGTGATCGTCAAAATTTTAACATTCAGACCAAAGATTATAAAAATGTGACAATTCTTTTGAACGATACCATGGTAGATATGGACTCTCCAGTCAAGATTACCATGGAAGGAAAAGTTTTGTTTGAAGGTATTGTATCACGCACCATCGGAGCAATAGCAAGATCGTTAAAACGGCATGGAGATTTGTACTTAATATTCACTGGGGAAGTAACAGTCTGCACTGAATCTCAACAGGATGAGTTTAAAAATTAACGAACATTATTTTTTATTTACAGTATTTTCTTAAAGTATTATCACTGTATTATCTATCATTAAATGAACAAAAAAAAATAATTTCATTTTATAAAATAAATTCTATTTAAACTAGACACTTGAATTACTTGAAGGGAGTTAGTAATAAGTGTAATATATTGTATCGTGCTAGTACATATTTCGATAAAAATTTATACATTTATATTTAAATTGACAGACCTTGAATAAATATACTAGATGGGTGAATTATCCCTGGAAAAAACCTTTTTTTTACTATCTGTTAATATCAAATCTATCATTATTTATTATATCTACAAAATAGTGGTACAAATGTTAAATTGATGGATTAGCAATTAAAAAAAGGTCCGTCAGGGGCTTTTCACTCACGAACCTAGTATACCCCCTAAAAAAATGTTACGAAACTGGGTTTAAATTTAAAATGCAGCTTAATGTATTGATTAATAATCAATTTTAATCAACACAATCTGTTTTTTCTTTTACTTATTTCTTACCATTCTAAACAATATGAGCGAAACACCTAAGTACTACAAAAGTTGAAAAACCGAAAACTTTTGATCACCTTGATAAGTGCTTACGGATGAGAATGAGCCAAAACGATACGAGAAAGAAAATGACAAAATGAATACCAGTAGATAGATGATGAGAATGAGCCAAAACGATACGAGAAAGAAAATGGCAAAATAAATACCAGTAGATAGACGATGAGATAATTCTAGCAATGATAAGATATTGCTTAGTTGATGTATGTACACATGAGTGTTATTTAAATAATTTTCAATATCGTATAATATATTATACAGGTAAATGCCTTTCAAGCTGTTTAAACTTCTTCAACAAATAAGAAATGATTGAAAATCATCGAACCAAATTTTAAACCAATCGACAAATGGTTAATAGTTTATAAAACTTGAACAAATGAAAGAAAATCTGAATAAAACAATGCATATTTTTATCTGGAATGATATTATCGAGGTTGGGGTATTTTTGTATTATATTTCTATATTGAGAATCTAGTTCATTGCTTTAATGGGTATTTTTAATATTAAGTGTTACTAATTTTTATAATTATATAGATATTTAACATTTTAACATAATAATATATATTGTATATTTGATAATTGCAAATTACTTAGAAAAAAATTCCATTTATCAATCCGTAATTTTTTTACAAGCACAAATGATGTGATAGTGACAAATAATTGTAGAATAGTCAAATACGGTTATTAAACAGAGTATATTTCAGTATTTACAAATACAAGTGACTCTCAATAGAAAAAACTTTTGATATAAGATTTTATAAATCCTAATTAAGAATTTATAATAAAAAACCGATATAAGATTTTGACTGGACCAGGCAACTTTCTTATATCAAGAGTCACTTGTATTAATGATTTAATCGAAAGAATTGATATTAATGCAGCAGAAGCTGTTACGGCATAAGCCAGAATGGTTTCTGGTGCGATTTTAATTAGTATGAAAGAATTATAGATAATGATGGGACTACATAGCTTAGAAATTAAAACATCATACGCTATGGTTTATATAAAAAAAAAATCGATTCTAAAATATTATTAAATTATTAAATGCTGATTATAGACTTCTAATTTTGAATTTAGGATTTTGTTATTCGTAAAAAATTTAAACTCAGTTTCGTAACATTTTTTTAGGGTATACTAGGGAGGTTATAAATATTTTAGAACAGGAGTTGTGAAATAGTGAATCCGCTTTGTAGATCGGGTGAAATTCGCGTTTTATTATGTTTTTTAATATATAAAGCTCCATGTGATGATCATAGCGGATTTCACTATTTCGCCAATATTTTTCACTGTGCCCTAACCGTTCATGTGATCGACGAACAAAAAACAACACCCCACAAAAAATTGCTCACCCCCTGTAATTTTGGCCAATCGGAACGAACCCCCTTTTTTACAAAAAAACCAGGAATAACTCAAAATTCTTATTAGGAAACCATCTTCTGCGGCCTAATTAAAAAGGGTTCTCGTGAAATTCTACCAATAACTGTCGAATTGTTCTAATCATAATCCTAAATATAAAGCGGAGTTTTCCATATTTAATTTTACACGTAATTTTTTTACTTAGAAAACTAGAGATATGATCATGCAGGAGGATTCGCTGCCCATAATATGGTAAAGATGATAGATTTGCTTGTTTTATTCTTGTTTTGTTTAAAAAGAAAAATTTTCCTGTTATTAAATATTCGTATTGAATTTATTATTTAAAAAAGAAAAAGGTTGCTTAAGCTTTACTATCATTAGATGTTCGCGTTGAATTTAATGCACCAAAGCTGATGAAAAAAATTCTTTCGAAACAAAGCTAATTTTCCTATAACCTCATACAAAAAAGATCAATGCTTGTACTTACCATAACTCTAAAACATTAGAAAAAGGTTTACTTGTAAAGGATTAGGTCTCCTCTTTCATTTGGCATGAGGATGTGACGAATCTTCAGTGTGGTGAGTAATTTCTTGCGTCAAAGCTTTTTATACCATCAAACATTTTTCGGATTGATACAAAGTTTTATTTGACTTTTGATAAAGAAGTTACAAGTAAAAATAATTCTAAATCATAAATTTTCATAAAACGTTTCAAGGCAATCTTTTAAGATTATCACAAGTTAGTCACGTCTTTTACATTTGCATGGACTAATGAGACTATATTCCGTATTACACACATGTAATTGCAAATTGAACATCTTTAGATAAGGTGTCGCTCAATATCCACTTTTGGATATTTAGGAAAAAATTTTAAGCTAGATTACAGACGACTTTGATACTTTGGATTAATTGTATACCAAATTCTTTTGACAGATTTTATTTTTAATTTTTTTTTTTTGATAAAGATTTGCTGTTTAAAAGCATTTTATCTCGGATATTCGAAACCTTCTTGTCTCCGCTATTTTTCATGTTGAGAAGTTGGATTGATCTTCTCGGCTATCTTTATGATGAAACTTGACTGGCACTTTTCATGATAGATGCGATAAAAAATAGGATTGTGGTGATATATTTGATGAACAAATAGGACTGTGGTGATGGAAATTCTTGATATTAGTAAAATCATTGATTGATATAACTCAATCATGTGAGCAACTAGTGTTGATTATTGGAATACTAAAGATGAATCCTGTTTGCTTTTGGAATCGAGATATAGTGTATTAAGAAAATATTATTTGATTTTAATAGAAAATGTTATGATTCATGTTTTTTTGTAATAAAGATCTTTTGAAAATTTTAATTTAGAAGTAAGTTGTTCTTGTCGAAAAGATGAAAATTTAAACGGGCGTTACCAAGTCAACTTCTTTTATAGTATTTTTATATGCAGCTGTAAATGGTATTAATCATTAAATTTTAGACATAGCACTGGATAATAAAGTTCAGCTTATAGTTGAAAACCACAATTTTTATTGTTAATATCATCAATATTCGATATTCGCATCAACGAAGCCATATAATTATCAAAACACAATATACACCAAATTTAGAATTTATTAATTTTATTTTATTTCAAATATAAACCTTAGATAATTACAAATTTAACTTGTCAATATTGCGTATAACATTACTAAAAACATTGAATTAATATATAGTATATGTTGGGGCCTAATTTTTGAAAAATATTACATACAAGGGCGACGATATTCAAGCCTGTGGATCGTTATTAGCATAAGAAATGTAAGCACCGATAAATGTAGTTATTAAGTACATAAAAAATGTATCGATTGTAAATCATTAATTATATACGAGAAAAAAAGTCTTTTAAATTTAATAAATTCAATTTTTTGTATAAAATTGCGTATCGTTATAACAAACTACTATGATGTCAAGTAAATCATTGCGGATTTGCATGATATAAAAATTGTACTATTTTTTATACAACATTAAACGAAAATGATTATAGCCAGCACTTCGTTTATTCTTTTATTTAATAATCAGCCCCGAATTTGACCTAACATTGACACGTGATTGATCGTCAAATTTGAGGTCCTTACCCGAGAAATTGATAACATAAAAAGTAGAAGAAATTTTACTTTTCTTCTATTATTTTTATTACTTTATTACTTCGGATAAATCGACGATATATAGAACATCCATCTCTTCTTTATAATAATAGGAATAAGGTTTTAACAACGATATAGTGTAAATAAATAATGTAAAGGAAATTAACCTCGAATGTAAATAAATCTTTTATTATAAATAAAGGACATTTTTGCCTGGGAGAAAAAGACAGACATACTCTCAAGTAATTACATTTGCGTAAATAAAACTAAATACCCTACCTATAATAAAAGTGAAGTGCTATACTATTCAAACTCATAACTATCGTTAATCCCATCAACTAACACTATCGTTTACCAAAAACTCCTAAAACCGCAATTGATCGCTCGCCATAAATCGCATGACCAAGAAGGCCAGTAATGTAAGAAAAGAGTTCCAACCCCGATTCGACGTAAAGTAATCTTGGGTTGAGACAGAAAAAAGAAAACAAGAGTTAGTATAAGAATAGGTTGAAGAAAAAACTTAAAGAGAAGACTAGTATTTATCTACGTACAAAAACCAACCAGCCAAATTTAACACGCCTATTTTGACTTAGCCTCCGCAGGTTACATGATAGTAGGATTAAATTAGTGATAGACTCGCCGAATTCCGAACCAACAGTATGTAAATAACTCTAATTAGTTTATAAAAATGACTTTTTGGCACGGTGCACAAGTTCCATTTCTATATAATTAAAAAAAAAAAAAAATTAGACTAGTTCTAAACAAGGGATCAAGCAAAAATCTAGATTTAATGTTTCTACATATTAACTTAGTATTCAGAATGCAAACTAGAGTTTAAAAATACCATCCAAGTTGCACCAAACCACCTGTATCGTCTAACAGTACGCTCACACGAGACCAATATTATACTAGTTTAATGCTATGCATTTAACTAGTATAATAGCGTCGTGATTTGGCTTTCTTGGATGCTTACTTGGAAATTACGAAGAAAACTTATTACAGTTAACCTCAATCCTATAACATATAAAAACTATCTAAAACTTGTAAATTACAAATAATAAAGTTTCTACTTACCTTTCAAGAAAATTGTGTTGCAAAGTGCGTCAGCTAGAAAAATTAACGGAGTTCTTGCAAAGTGCATCGGCTAGAAAAATTAACGAAGTTCTTGCAAAGTAAATCTGCTAAAGCCTTTTCTCATTCTAATCCAAGATTGTTAAAACAAAACCGAAAAAATCAATGTGGTCAGAAGCGAAGAAGAAATGCATTGTTAATACAACAATCCGTCTAATTTTTAAATAAACCAAATTGACTAAAATGATATACATGTGATGTCATTTGTTTTGCACTTGATATGTACTGTACATATTTGTGATACAAAAATAGCCAATCTAAGAATGTAAATCAATAATACGCGTACGCGCTAGTCACATGATGCTCCACTGGGGTTAGGCACAGAAAAAATTTTTAGGCCTATAGGCATGCCCCAAAAATTTTTGTACGAGATGCCCTGGGATACCGTGCCACCAGGGACAGTGAAAATATCGATTTATGTTGATTATATATTTTTTAGGCCAATCAAAAGAAATCGATATTTTTGCCAATATTTTTGACCGTGCCCCAACCGTTCATGTGATCGACGAACAAAAAACAACCCCCACAAAAAATTGATCACCCCTGTAATTTTAACTAATCGGTAAAAATCGAAACGAACTCCCTTTTTTACGAAAAAACAGGAATAACTTAAAATTCTTATTAGGAAACCATCTTCTGCGGCCTAATTAAAAATGTTTCTCGTGAAATTCTACTAATAACTATCGAATTATTCTAATTATAATTCTAAATATAATGCGGTTTTTTCCATATTTAACTTTACACGCAATTTTTTTACTTAGAAAACTAGAGATATGATCATGTAGGCGGCTTCGCTGCCCATAAAATGGTAAAGATGATAGATTTGCTTTTTTTTTTTATTCTTATTTTAAAAAGAAAATTTGCTTAAGTTTTTCTGCTATTAGATATCCGTATTGAATTTATTATTTAAAAAAGAAAAAAGGTTGCTTAAGTTTTACAATCATTAGATGTTCGTATTGAATTTAATGCACCAAAGCTGGTAAAAAAAAATCTTTCGAAACAAAGCTAATTTTCCTATAACCTCATATGAAAAAAGAACAATGCTTGTACTTACCCTAACCCTAAACATTAGAAAAGGGTTTACTTGTAAAGGATTAGTTCTCCTCTTTCATTTGGCATGAGGATGTGACGAATCTTCAGTGTGGTGAGTAATTTCTTGTGTCAAAGCTTTTTATATCATCAACCATTTTTCGGATTGACACAAAGTTTTATTTGACTTTTGATAACGAAGTTACAAAGAAAAATAATTCTAAATCACAATTTTCACGTCTTTTACATTTGCATTGACAAATAAGACTATATTCCGTATTACGCACATGTAATTGCAAATTGAACATCTTTAGATAAGGTATCGCTCAACATCCACTTTTGGATATTCAAGAAAAAAATTTTAAGCTAGACTTCGATACTTTGGATTGATTGTATACCAAATTCTTTTGACAGATTTTAGTTTTATTTTTTTTTTGATAAAGTTTGGCCGTTTAATCGGAAAATATTATGATGACATTCGAAACTTTCTTGCTTTCGCTACTTTTCGTGTTGGGAAGTTGGATTGATCTTCTCGACTATCTTTATGATGAAACTTGACTGGCACTTTTCATGATAGATGCGATGAAAGAATAGGACGTGGTGATAGATGAAAATATAAGGCTGTGGTAATAGAAGTGATGAAAAAATAGGACTGTGGTGATATATTTGATGAACAAATAAAGACTATGGTAATGGAAATTCATGATATTAGTAAAATCATTGATTGATATGACTCAATCATGTGAGCAACTAGTGTTGATTATTGGAATACTAAAGATGAATCCTGTTTGCTTTTGGAATCGAGATATAGTGTATTAAGAAAATATTATTTGATTTTAATAGAAAATGTTATGATTCATGTTTTTTTGTAATAAAAATCTTTTGAAAATTTTAATTTAGAAATAAGTTGTTCTTGCCAAAAAGGTGAATATTTAGACGGTGTTACCAAGTCAACTTCTTTTATAATATTTTTAGACATAACACTGACTAATAAAATTCAGCTTATAATTGAAAAATACAATTTATATTATTAATATCATCAATATTCAACATTCGCATCAACAAAACCATATCATTATCAAACACAATATACATCAAATTTAAAATTTATTAATTTATTTTATTTCAAATATAAACTTCAGATAATTACAAATTTAACTTGTCAATATTGCATATAACATTACTAAAAACATTTAATTAATATATAATATATATTGGTATCCGTTAGCTATTATCTAGAATTAACTAAATAATACCCAGGCCACACGACAAGGACGTCGATACCAAAGTGACCCAAAAAAAAGCTTTCACAACCTGGGTTTGTGAAAGTAAAAAATTGTACCCGCCAGAAGGATTTAAATTTCTGCAAAGCAAAAGTTAAAAACAAAAATCATACTTACCTACCCTCTGGAGGAAAAGGGGCCTTACCCAGGTAAAGGAGGGTGACATATTTTCCAACCCGTTCTTCATGCTCTTCCGTGCACGGGTTGGTCAATGCGCTAAAAAAAAAACTACTTACCTTTTGAAAGAAACCCATATTTTGGGAATCTTTCGAAAACGAAAAAGTTAAAATAGGCATAGCAACTGAACACAAGTGTATACAGAACGAAATACTTATCTTAATAACTTTAAATAAAAATTCTTACAAAAGAATACGCGTAAAAAAAAAGTAAACTGTAATAAAAAAAAAACGGTGCATTTCAATAAGGTTAAGAAAAAAAAAAAAGTAACTCTTCATTATCGTGTTTATTGTTTTTGATAAGATTAAAAATCAAAAAACATATATATCGATATTGTGCGTCAATCAGCACATTTAACACGTGCATGTGTGATACGTCACCTACAAAATTATGCTTTCACGTGATCACAGGAAAACTTCAAGTTCGTTTATGTTAGGGTTAGTGTATGAACAAGGTCAGAGAAGATTGCATACATATTAAAATTTTTCAAGGAACTTTTTTTCAAAATGATTTATTATGTGTAATAAGATTTTTGACAAACATCTTCGTGATCATGTTACGTTGCCAATCTCCCACAAACGAAAATTATTTTCATGGCCCACAAAAATTAGGTGCTAAATTTAGGGCCATCCTATTTATTAATTTATCTAATATATATTTTACAACATTAGAATCATCTGAAATCACTCTTACGAGTATCTGGACAAGATATCCAGGCCTCTATTAGAAATTACACGGCGAATATTCATGACTTAATATCAAATTATATAATATTTCGATAACAAACTAGCATTTATCGTGAAAAGAATAGTTAATTCTTTCCAAAAAAATAATTTTTCAATAAAGTACGAATTTTGATTGAAATTCTTAAAATCGGAATATCGTAAAATCTTATGTAACAGAATAAACTTTAAAATAATCGAGATATAAATCCTTAATAAACTATTAATAATGTCTTTATTAACGTCGATAATAATGCCGTTTAAAATGGAAATGTAGTTGTAAAACTCCACGATCAAAGCTCGACTTAAATCCTTTTTTATGTGAATATTCCCATTCCCGATTAACAATTCGAAAAGCAATATCCTGTTTATGAATAAATAAATAAATTAATCAAGATAGTCAAAAATTTTTTATCTATACAAATACATTACCTCATAAGGAGGACCAGCAACGAAACGTATTAATACAGTATCATTGTTGCCGGGTTCTCTTTCAATTTTATATGTAGGTGCTTTAGATTTGTCAATCAAATCCGGATAAAATATGTTGAATTTATACCCTTGTACAACTTTTGGTGGAGGGTTATCACTATCATAATGCGTTTGATTGTATTTGTTCCATTCGTACCCTGTGTGAACGCGATTGAAATATCGAGGTTTACGTGGTCGGTATTTATCTTGCCATAAATACGTCTATCCAATATAATGAATATGTATTAATTTACATAAATTCACTTTAATAGTCAGACCTCCCAAACTTTGACAACATGCATTTAAAAAACAATCAAGAACCAAAATTATGGGTGCCAATATATATTTGGGCTAGAATTTGAGACTGCATTTAAGGAGGTCTACACTTAAGGGCTGCATTTAGGAGGTATGACTGTAATATATAAATAACTAATTAATCGATTGCTTACAGTTTTGGCCAATTCTTCTTCTATATTAAATATTGCTTCATCTTCATCCAGTTCCTTAGCTGCTTCCCGTTCATACAATGCTTTTGAAACCTATAACAATATTAGATCCTTGAAATTGCATATTATTGAGCAGTACAAAATATTAAAGCTACATACCACAGACTCTTCCTCTTCTTCAACGGTCTGTTTTTTTGGTTGAACCTTCATGGGTATAAACTGATTACGGAGTACTTCTTTACGCCTTTCTTTCTATTTATTTATAAATGTTGAGTATTATTGTCCTTTAAATCGAAAATTTAAATAACAGCAGTAAAAGTCTATTCATACCAATGCCCTTAAATCTTCATCTGGGTCAATAATTTCATATTGTTTATCTTCTTTGGACAATTTTGATAACGGTCTAGGACTCATAGATCTATCATATTCTCCAATCGTATAATCAGTATCTTCTTCAATAATTACATCTTGCCCTTCAGATTCAATTTGAATATGATGAGCATGTGATGCAATGGCGGATTCCAACTCTTCTTGCACCTTAATAGCCTCTTGCCTTTGCTTTCTGCGGAGTTGTTCTAATCTTTTTCGCAATACAATTTCATGCATTGCTTTTAGCTTAGCCTATTATTAATAAGTTATATGGTCGAGTTTTAATCAAACAATAAAATATAAAATATTAATTACATAAATAAAAACGTTAATTAATACTTTTGATTTCCAAACAGTCAATGCCTTCAATTGTTGTTCCCAAAATTCTACTTCTACAGCTTCTTTTCCAGATAATTTTTGTTGAATCTGAGCTTGTAATACATTCAGTTGTTCATAGGTCTTTCCAGAAAATAAATTATTAATGTCATCTTTTACAGGTGCTATGATATTCATAGCATGGTTCTTTTCGTCCTCTTGAAGTTCAGAAAGTTTATCCTCACATACTACAATCATTGCCTGATAAATATTAATAAAACTATATACATATATTATTATTATAAATAAAAATTAGACTATATTTTATAAACATTTTTCATACCCTCCAGAAATCAAGATTATTTGGATTTCTTTCAAGGCTCAAATATTTTTGAATGTCTTGATGTAACTCTTCAACTTCTGGTAGAGTGAGATTCTGAATAAAAGATTGTCAATTAAAATAAAATAATAATAAGGCCGAATCATTTATTAATGATACATAGAATTCATACTTCAAATATAGTATATGGTTCATCCATATCAATCTCCAGTGCTTCATCAACAACTTCGGTTTCATCAGCCAATCTCAAATTAATAGCAAGAATATCAACCGGTTTTGCACGATTTTCTTTGATTCTAATTTCCGCTCGGCGTTTTGCTTGTTCAAGATGGAACTTATAGAAAAATTTAAGATAAATTTTACGAAAAAAATATGACAGTAATAACAAGCATAAATGCTTACCTCGTCTTCTTTTGATGCCCAATCACCCATTGCAGCAATTTCGGCATCACGCTGCATTCGAGCCTACGTATTTAAAAGTCAGAGTATTAAATATTAAATTATCACAGTTTAATGCAACCGAATAGATAAATATATATTAAGATATATACAAGTTCCTCTTCACGTAACTGCCGTTCTATTTCACGTTCAGCCCTTCTTTTATTTAATTTTTCAAGTTCAAGCTTTTTATGCAAAGTGATAGAATAAAAATTACGGTTGTTAAAAATATGTAAAGTTCAAATAATTAAGAGTTTTAATTGCTATCATACCTGTGTTTCTTCTCGTCGTTCTTTTTCTCTACGCAGAGCTTCTTCTGGTGATATTCCCAACTTCTTATCACGTTCTTTTTTTTTGGTCCATTCAAATTTTATACCAAGGTTAGCATCACCAAAAGGATTATCTGTATTCGAATATGCTGATAATTCAATATATGATAATTTGTCTTTCTGTCGATCTCGTTCCTATATATTCAAAAATAAAACTATTAATACAAAATTATTCTTGCAACAAGATAATCGACGCATCTATATTTTGTACCTTTTTATCTTTTTTCGATTTTTTAGATTTCTCTGACTTCCTTTTACTACTATTGTCACTATCAGAAGAGTAAGATCTGCGTTTTGATTTTTTTTTATGCTCTCTTTCATGTTCTCTTTCATGCTCTCCTTCATGCTCTTTTTCTTTTCCTTTTTCACTCCAACTAAAATTCATGTTTTAAGATCTCTACTTAGTGATCGTATGCGACCGAAATCCTATATGCACGTATTTTTCACGTGATTTTATATATTACATCTAAGGTAACACACGAAGGACAGCTGGGTTTTCTATGAAACTTCACCGGTTTATTCGTTTATTCTTCTGTCGATATATAAATATTGTATAGGGACCGATCTTGGTAATCCGCATTTTGCTTGACTTTTACTAAACATACTTTTACTAATCAAGTAACGTAAATACACAAATAACTTGGAATTCGATTATTTTTTTGGCACTTTTGACTTTTGTCTTGCAAAATTTTAAAAGCTATTCACAAAGGCACCAAGCATTTATAAAAGAGCTTATTGTGAAAAAATTTGAACTAATTCAGACAAGAAAACCAGTTTAATTATTATTTATTGGTTCTTATTTATATCACCAAAAAAATAATTTTTGTCTTCAATTTAGATTTTTTTTTTTCCTTAAGCAGTCACGTTAGCACTTTGGTAAGATTTTGAAATTACATTTGCAATTACATAAATATTCTTAACAACTAAGTTTAGCATCACCCGGCCACCTTAATGGTACTTAAGTGCAACCTGCTGCATTACTTCAAGCAGAAGTAAGCTACTCATCTAACTACTTAAAGTCCATAATGGAAGGGTTTTCTCTCTTTCATGACAAGCTCTAAACTTGTCTTCTGTACTTCTTTTTTGATTTGTTTTCCTTTTTCTTTCATTTTTTTCTTTCTTTCTTCTATTATTTGCTAATTTGGTTTTCTTTTTTTTCTTGATGTTTTTCTTTCTTTCTCTCTTTTTTTTTTTATTCTACCTGTTATTTCTTCATTTTTATCTTATTCATTGATTTTCTCACAATAAATTCTTTATACTTGTTTATAAAATGTGTCTTAGATCATTTTTACTATTACATTTATAAATTATTGTTTTGATTTTGTACTTAGAAACTGTTTTAATCTGTTCTGCATTTCTTTTAGAATAAAATTTTTGATTAGTGTCTCTCTTATTTTTATTTTTTTTATTTCTTTTTTCTAAAAAATACTGTGTATAATACATATAAAGGAACTTGGATTTTTTCTTTTTTTTTCAGTCCCTTCCAGACTGTTGCAATCATCACTTTTTGAATTTTTTTCTAAAGATTTCTTTGTCCTTTATATGTTATTAGATGTAACTCATTTCTTTTGTTTTGTCTTGATATATTTGGCACTTTGTTGTTGTATATATATTTGGTTTTTTTTTGTTAAACTCTTTTAGTATTAGAAATTTATCTATTACACACTTTATAAAAACACTTCTCTTGATACTACTTCTTCTCATTATGTAATGTACTTCTTTAGTTATCTTTAGTCTCTTCCAAAAGTATATCTAATTATAAACTATAACTTTTGTTTCTGATTCTAATTCTTTAATTGCTTTTATTTCTTTTCATTCTATTTCTAATCTTGTATTCATTATTAATTTATATAACAATCTTGCTAATATGTCAGTATATTTGTTTTCTTACTTTAAACAATACTTTATTTCTTCACAACTGACTTCTTTAACCTGTATTGTTCTTTTATTTGTTGCATCTTTTTATGCTAAACTATTAATTTTATCATTCTATCTATCTTTACTGTAACTTTTGACCTTAAAAAACTCTATCTAAATGTTTTTCATTATAATAAGATCTCTAAATTTCATTATTCATATTGTATTTTTTTTTAAGAATCTTATTTCTGTCTATTTGTTCTAAATCTTTACTAATGTTTCTTATTACAGCATTATTATCTGTATATATTTCTATCTACTTTTCTTTTAGTACTGTTAAGATTGCTGTTCATATTATTACTAGTTCTGCTATTGTTAATATCTGTTATCTTTTTAGTCCTAATGCTAACTCCTTTTCTAATTATTCTTGTGTTTTATCAATTTGCACTCATACTATATCTATATTACTTTTATTTCTTAAAATTTCTTTAGTCTTCAAGTTTGCTGTTTTATTTGTGTATATTGTATATTTGTTCTTGGTTTTTATTATATTTCTTCTCAGAACTTTTATCATTTCTTAACTAATATTTTTTAGATTTTGTCATCTGATAACTCTACTTTTAGCTCTTCTATTGTTCTTAGTCTTTCAAGCTTTTCTAGTTTCTAGTTTATTTATCTTTTTTGTTTCTATTATTTAGTCTATTACTATTTTGATCTTGTTGCTATCTTTTCTTATCAATATATCTGAGATCATGCTTATTTTGTTGTTTATTTTTATCTACTATTGATAGCTATCTTCTAAATATTTATTATTTTTTATATAACTCTTATATCTATTAATCTCAACAGCTAGTTCATTTCTTTACTTTACATTTGCCAATATTCTATTAGTATTTTTTTCCTTTTTTTTTAATTATCTTTTCTAGTTGTTAATGATTCTGTACACTATATGTTATTTATTCTTTTCTTTTTTCATCTTTTGAAACATACTTCTATCTCATTTGTATTGCTTAAGTATTTTGCTTATTTGTTTTAAAATGTCTTTTAACCTCTCTGCTTTCTAGTCTGCTAAGCATTTCTAGTTTAATTGCTTTGAACTATTTTATTTTTTTTCTTTTACATAATAGATCTTGGTAACTTTTTAGCTATTATTATGTAATTAGTCTCTTTTCTCTTGTATCAAGTAGCTAATTTAGATATACTAAGACTGCTTTATTTATTTTAGTTCTGCTTTTTTTCTATAATTGTGTATCAATAAGTTTTTTTAATTTAGTTTCATATTCTAGTATTGTTTATAAATTATCTTCTATTCTTATATTTATATTAAGACTTCTTGCTTTTAGTAATATTAAACAAATTAAGTAATTTTTTCAACCTTTTATATTTTCTGATATCTCTTCTATTTTTTATATATCTTTTGTAAGACCTACTTTTTGACAACCTTGCATTATCCTTAATTTTATTAACTATCCAAAACTGTCTTGTCTGTTTAGTTTTGCTAATAAATTACTTATTTGCTTTATTGCCAATTTTTGTTGTAATGTTCTATAATTTTCAAGATTTTTGTATACTATTATTCAGTTTTTTAATATTCTTTACAGATTACTTTTTTGCTTTGCCAAACTTATTATTAGTTAGTATATTTCACATATGCTTTTTTCTGACATTTTTATTAATTATAGTATATAACTTAATTTTAGTATTATTACTATATTGTTTATATATACAATTTGGCTTATTATTATTTTTTTGTATCTGAGATCTCTTATCATTTAGTTGATTATTTCTTTAGCTTTTTTTTTACTAATACTTTACTTATTTTTTATTTAGCTATATTTCTAGTAAATAAACTAACTTGTTCTTTATTTTTTCTATTATTTTATTTTTTTTAAAAATTATTATTTTTCTTCTTCCTTTACTTTTGTGTTCATTATCAACAACTTTGATTTAAATTCATTTATTTCTATGTTATTTATCTTGAAAAATTCTTCTGCTATCTTTAATATTTTTATTAGTTGTTCTTTACTATTTGCAATTCATGTTGTATTATCTACATATGCAATTGCTACTTGGCAGTACCTTGTGATGTTGCTGCATTGCATACCTTTTTTAATTTGTTGCTCTACTATATAACTTAAGCTTTTATCTTGTATTTTTTCTAATAGTGGATCATAAAAAAGTTATTATATTAATAAAGATATTACTTTACCTTGATCTATACTATTTTTTGTTATTATTTCTTCTGTTAGGCTATAGGCTGTGATAATTTTTAATTGTCTTTTATTAAACATGTTCAAAATATATTTTATTGTTCTTTTAGGTATTTTGACTCTTCACAATACTAGTTTCAAACTCTCTAGTAGAACTAAGTCAAATTCCTTTTTTATGTCTTACAAAAGTATTTATACTTCTTTATCTTTCTTTTTTGCTTTTTCTATTATTATGTTAAGAATATATGCTAACTGTTTTGTTAAGTTGCCTAGAAGGCCTGCATAATTTGGTCTATTTAGTATTTCTTTTTCTACAAATATTTTGGCAAGCTTTTTTGTTATTACTTTTGTTACAACTTTTCTGAAAGTTTCTATTAGTGTTATTGATCATATATTGTTTAGGCTATATTCTTATTCAATATCTTTGAATATTAAGTAAACTTGCACTATTTTCTATTTAGTTAGTATCTTCCTTACTTCTAAATATAAGTCTATTAAGTCTCTAAATACTTCTTATGTTTTCTTTTCTGCTTGCTTTATCAGAATATAACTTATATTTGAGTTTTGAAAAAAAAAACTTTTTCCATAGATCATTGAAAAAACAAAAAAAGTAAACAAAACTGGTACTAAAATATTGAATGTATTAATTAAATAGAACAAAAGATACTTATAAAAGAGAGA